AGCTCTGCTTTCTATATTCGCACCTTGGGAACAAGACCAAGGATGAATCAAAGAGATGCTGGATTGCTCATTCTGCCAAGGAAAAGGATCTCCGCGCACCTGGACTCCCTCCTGTGCAGCTGTGTCTGCTGCCCACTCAGGAAAGATTTAAATACTCTGAGAGATAAGCAAATGAAAAAAGGCCACCCACAAAAGGGTAGTTATCACCACTTCAAGGTCCCAGCTTTAAAAATCTCCCAGCTTTAGGAGATCAGGAGACACTGACAAGTGCTTCAGTTTAAAATGACAAACGAGGCTTTGGATCTTGAAAGTTCATTCCCCAAAGATCTCTTTGGCCCCTCAGGTGTCCCTGGACTCAAATCTAGCTGTTCTACGGCAGATCAGCCGCGTTGCCCTCTGAAACTGTCTTCATTTTCAAAGTAGAGGTCCGGGGACTCAGTCTTGTCCAGCACTGCAACACCTTCCCCCTAACCTCCGGGATGCATAGCAGGCCACGGCACTGGCTGCACAACCCGTCATAAAAAAGGCCTCCCCTACTTGCTCCGAGGAACCCTCACAGAGTTCAAATTCGGATTCTTTTTTTTTAATCCAGTGGAAAGTTACTTTCATTTTAAAAGGCAACATACAAATACTGTGAACAAAACAGGACCAAAAGCCAGCACTTACTTGGATGCAATGTAAATTCCCCCACAAGAAAACTGGGGGGGGGGGGGGGAATCAAAGAATCCAGCAGCTTGGGACACTCTCAGGACCTGCCAGAACTTCCGGGGAGGCACCCAAGCATTGTCGGAGCACTTTGCCCACCACTGACGTCCGCTTGTGGGCCGCAACCTCACCAAATGCGCTCCCAGATTACTCCGAGCTCCCAACGGCAGAGCACTAAAAACAGACTGCCAAACTTGATTGACTAGAACCCCTCTGCTCCGGAAGAGCTGGGCTGCCTCAGACACGCCTTGCTGGGAAGGAGCTCTTAAGACTGGTCCGAAATCTGTCACAAACAAACAGGCAGCGAAGCGGGGAGGGCATTTTCCTGCATTGCTTAAGGGAAGAACGGTTTGTTTGGTATTTTTAACAAGAAGTCTCCAATAGCTACTCCCCTTTTGAAACAAAATACTGATAACCCTGCCTTATCTCCTCAGAATCAGGGAAGCTAAGAAAACAGTGAAAGCTGAAAAGATAGACCTCACAGACATACTGCAACAAGTCAGAACCAACACGCAATTAAAACACGCCATTTCAACACAAAGCCAAAATATGCGTGGAAGCAGCACAGGAAATAATTCTCCCTTCAGCTCCTTCCTGTGTCCCTCAGCGGTAACTCCAAATTCCCACTGTGACTACAGTGGTCTTTATACCACTGCTAGAGCCTCCTTTTCAATTTCACCTATTCAATCAGGTACAATACCCATGAATTTCAACTGGTCCTGTTCTTTGATGCCTGTCCCTTGGCGAATCACTGCCCCAGAATACTGTCCTGATTTCTGCCTTTTCGTGAGTTAAGAACATAAGAGAAGCCAATGTTGGATCAGGCCAATGGCCCATCCAGTCCAACACTCTGTCACACAGTGGCCAAAAATACCAGGTGCCATCAGGAGGTCCAGCAGTGGGGCCAGGACACTAGAAGTCTCCCAATGTTGCCCCCCCCCGTAAGCACCAAGAAGACAGAGCATCACTTGCCCCAGACCGAGGGGTTGCCAGTATAGCAGATGCCAGGAGATTTGGAGGGTAGTGCCTGGAGAGGGTGGAATTGGGAGAGGATGCTTCCAGGCGATGCTCTAGGAATGTCTCCTAACCTCTGTGGTAAAGACCACAGAGACGTGGGGAAATCTATGGAGCCTCTTTTCTGGCCACATTGTATCCCACTCCTCAGCTTCTCAAGGGCTGGGGGGACTGGGGCTGAGGGTTTACCGGCCACATGAGGGCGGCAAATGGCAAGCCTACTCCAGAATCATCAATATTATTTGGAAGTGTTTATAAAAACGTAATGGATTTCCAGTTTATTTTATTTTTAAAAAAGCAATTTCTGACATTCTATGCAGGAGCAAGAAAGCGAACAATCTACATAACAATAATGAGTAGGGGAGCAGGTATCCTCCCATTACCTGGATCTCAAATTATACACATCTTAAAAGCAGCACTTTGACTTGTGCTCCCAAACCATTAGTCCGAACTAATTTCAAGAAACCCGCTCTCCACAATGAGTATTGATCTCTTTGCATTCTGAACCAACTACAGTTTCTAGGTAGTCTTCAAGAAGCAGCCCCTCTTACAATGTCCAGCAGTAATTTATTTATTCATTTATCTATTTATTTATTTTCTTAAATTTCTACCCCCTCCTCCCGGCCAAGGCCAGCTCAGGGCGGCTTACGTAAAATCAGCATACAATAAAAACATTTAAAACAATATAAGAAACCTGTATAAGGGCCAAGAAGCGACAGTTAGAACCGGATATGGAACAACTGATTGGTTCAGCATCGGAAAAGGACTACGGCAAGGATGTATATTGTCACCTTGCTTATTTAATATATATGCAGAGTACATCATGCGATTTTGAACTATGGTGCTGGAGAAGACTCTTGAGAGTCCCTTGGACTGCAAGAAGAACAAATCAGTCAATCCTAAAATAAATCAACCCTGACTGTTCCCTGGAAGGCCAGATAATGAAACTGAAGCTCAAATACTTTGGCCACCAAATGAGAAGGGAGCACTCACTGGAAAAGACCCTGATGCTGGGAAAGATTGAAGGTCAAAGAAGACGGGGACGGCAAAGGATGAGATGGTTAACAATATTAAAACCAGTTGGCAACTTCATGGTAAGTGCTAGCTTTGTTGTTGATAAATCGGTAGTCGCTACCATATCGGCTCTCTATTCCCATCACCGGCCCATAGGTCTTCTACGGGTGTGTACTCGGCGGCTGGCAGGGGCAACAGGGCCTCCTATCCTAGTTGTTAATAGTGGCGGAGGCTCCAAAAGCCTGGCGGAAGAGCTCCGTTTTACAGGCCCTGCGGAACTGTAAGAAGTTCCGCAGGGCCCTGATCTTTTCTGGGAGCTCATTCCACTAGGATGGAGCCGCCACCAAGAAGGCCCTGGCCCTGGTTGTCAACAGCCTGGCTTCCTTAAGACTCGGGAGGGCCAAACGGTTCTGGGCCCCTGAACGCAGTGCTCTCTGGGGCATATATGGGGAAAGGTGGTCCCTCAGGTATGTAGGTAAGAAGCGAATCCGGTATGCTATCGGCAGCCAGTGCAGTGTCAAGCACAGGCTGGATGTGCTCCCAGATTGGGAGTCCCGTCAGTAGCCTGGCTGCAGCCAGGATCACCTTCTGAAAACCAGCATTCCCAGACCCATCAAGACCTGGCTGAAATTAATCCCTCCCCTGGAGATTGCAGACAGAGCCAGCAAGATGTGCCACACAGCCGTTCACTGTCCTAAATAAACTCCATATTGAAAGTAAGAACCCCTGGGGTCCAAAAACTGGAGGGGGGACTGATTCCTAACCCTAAATCCAGAGAATGATTACCAAAAGCCATCTGTTGAGCAATTCTAATGGAAAGCTTTGCTACTACAAGAGATAGAGAAATGTTCATAACTATTTTACTGTGCATATTTCATATGTTCACAACTATGTTCATAACTATTTTACTGTGGATATTTCAAGCATTAATCCAGACATTAACAATGACTGTAGCCACCTCAGTCCTCCAAATGGGTCAGTCACATCTGCACCCCACTTCTTATTCCAACCTATTTATTTATTTATTTTTCGCATTTATATCCCCCGCCCATCCTGTAGACAGGCTCAGGGCGGGTTACAACATTTCAATAAATACAATAACATTTAAAACACATTATAAACATATAAAATCAATAATTACAGCTTGCTGTAGGGAGAAACCAGCCCACTGACTTAGATAAATATGGCCAGTTATCAGTGGGTGGGAGACAGCAACCTCAGGGGGGCCAAGTGTGGACGCCCGCTGCCTCAGCCAAAGGTCTTGCAGGCCCTGCGGAACTGAGTGAGATCCCCCCGCAGGGCCCCTGATCTCAACAGGGAGCTGTATCCCAAGGTTTCCATCTCCAACACCACTTTTCGATGCTGTTTGGACTAGGGGGTGGGTCGCATTAGCACAGACAACACCCAGAATACATGATAAATCCACATAAATGGCTGAAACTAGATCAAACATATGCATAACTAAAACCTCCCTATAAAGAGTTTAATAAAAAGCCAACTGATTTGTGAAAACTGATCCCAGTTCTCATAGAGATGGTCTAACTTGGTCTGCTATGTAGCATCTGAGAGGGAAGGGGGGGGG